GAGGAGTGATAAGAATACAAATCAGAAAATCGACCACAGAAAATCTTTGATGACCTGTCCTGCTAGCTATTTTTACATTTTGTTACCAAATCTCTCCCCCCCCCCTTTTTTTTTTCTTTTATTTTCCTTCTCAATTTCGGAAACTTGGTGTTTTCCAAAACATTTCAATAAACGGTCTATTTTAACCATGGACTCACCCCACCGTCACCTGCGAGCCTTTAAATAGCATCTTGGTGTTTGGATCTTTAGGCGTGGCCGACGACGAGGCAAACCCGGGACATCTGGCAGTGGCGTGAGTGAGTTGTCAAGAGGGCTTTCTAAAAGGTTAGACCTGATATCTTAAAGAGAGAGAGAGAGAGCCCAATTCCCTGGTCCTCTATTATTATTATTTTTATAAACGCGACCTTCCCATGTGTCATTGGTTGCAGCCATCCCACGTGGTTTATGTTAATATGGGCAACAGCTTTTGAAGGCAGCAACTCCCATTCATTGTCTTTCATGTGTATCCCACAGTAAGATTAAAATATGTTCTTTGCATTATAATATTTATAATAATAGTTAAAATCTCACACACACTTATGGATAATAGTTCAATAAAAGCAAAATTTCTTCATGAAGAACTAATGAAGAAGGTAAAAATCTAGAAATATGATGGAAACATCTCCTACTCCTATAGCTCATATAATCCAGTGGTTCTCAAAGTGGTGGTCCGCAGGCCTCAGACAACAGCCACACACCTTAGACAGGGAGCTGTAAAAAATACTGGATAAAAGAGCTGGAAAAAAATGAAATAAACAAAAAGCTGAAACAAAATATTTTAAAACGCTCAGCTTTAAACGGTAATATTTAAAGAGTCCTCTCCCACTGGCGGATCATGAATAAAAAATATATATATTTTGCGACATACTTAGGCTCAACATAAAATTATTCATAAATATAGAACCCTGTCCCTGGTGAGGAGGGGTAACTTATCCACTGGTCTGCCAAACTTTAAAGTTTGGGAAGCACCGTTATAGTAACCATGAAGGCAATACCCCATATAGGATTTTAAAAAAGCAATAGCTCTTAACGACTTTATATCCCGTATAAATTAATGCAGCAATAATCACTTGTATGATGAATACCCCCACAGACTGTCCTTGACTACAAGTTCTCAACTAGGTGTAGGGGTAGACCCCATCTAAGGATTGCATGAAGAAAAACTCAGTTTGACTTTAGTCAAACTGATGGATTTTTAACATGTCTAAGAACTAGAACCTTCCAGTTTGCAAACCTGGGCTCTCTGTTAGTCTCATTAAACATCTGCACTTTAAAAAAACAATAAATATACATACACACCAAAACTCATTGAATACTGGCATGTTAATGTCAAATATTTTAATATTTATTAGCTATCGGAAAAAAAAAAAAACAACAACCTGGAACCAAAGAAAAATAATATAATAAATTTAAAAAAACGTAATTTCATAGATCCATTTTATTAAATCTTTACAACAAAGAATTCAATGATGGGGAGAATGAATATAACACAATAAATGGGGCGAGGAAAAAAGAAAGAAAGAAAAGTAATGAACCAGAATTAGTTAAATGTTTACAACTTCTTTTTTAAAAAATCTTGAAACAAGAAACAAAACAAAATATACATGAACAAAACAAGGATAGCATTGATTATATGATGTCTCCTAATTAAATTGTTAAACATGATTATAAGCAATGTGAGAATAGTGATGTACAGTAACTATATGCGGTATGATAGGGAATTTTTTTAAAATAAACCAGACGGCGACAACGACTCAAAGAAATCAATGCTAACACTGTCACAGGGTGGAGAAAATGTTTCACAGAGACCATAAACCAAAATGCTGCTTCCAAGAACCGAATAACTAGACTACAAACGAAGAAAGAAAAATCCCAGTAATTAAGGATTAATTCACTCACAAACAATCATAACAGAAAATTAACATCAACTGTGCTTCTCTGTATGTGTTACATAAAAGTAAATCTTCTTACTTTCCATAAAATCTAAACAGCATTAACCCATCAAGACTAAAAATGTAAAGTTTTGTTGTTTTTCTTTTTATTATACATATTTACAGTAAACTGCAGACAATCATCTAAAACTGAAACAAACTACAACAACATTACAGTCTCAACATGTTTATATTAAAAATAGCGACACACCAAATTGAACACTTGTTTGTTTTGTTAGTTATGCCATGTTCATAAAAAAACAACAAAAAAAACAACAGTTGCTGCCTCTTAAAAATAAACCTTTTCCATCATGTGGAAGCTAAGTCTTATTTCTTATTGGCATTTGTATCAGTGATGAGGTGGTGAATTAAAAAGATGATGAGGGAAATGACAAAGATATAGTAAGATTTTAGAGTGGGGGGAAAAAAAAAAAACAAAAAAAAAAAACAACCTTTGAACACAAAAACTGCTTTACAGAAAAATACTCTCTTCAAATAAAAATTAAAAGGAATTTACAAGTAGTGATGAGGTGGTGAAATAAAAAGATGATTAGGGAAAAGACAAAGATATAGTAAGATTTTAGAGTGGGGGGAAAAAAAAAAAACAAAAAAAAAAAAACAACCTTTGAACACAAAAACTGCTTTACAGAAAAATACTCTCTTCAAATAAAAATTAAAAGGAATTTACAAGAGACACAGAGTATAAATAAAATACATCAAATTTACACAATCTGTCAGCATTTAGAACGACAATAGATATTCCTGTCATGCTTATATCAAATAATATTACATTTTCAGACATGCAAATTAAATGTTTTGAATATTTAACACCATTGCCAATAAACAGAGAGCAATCCACGGGCAGTAATCACATACAGCCAACAAACAGAGCAATCCACTGGCAGTCATCACATACAGAGCAATCCACTGGCAGTCATCACATACAAATTAAGTTTTTTTTTCTTCTTTTCTTTTTACCAAATAGTCACAGGGGGGATAATTGTACACAAGAAAAGTCAAGTTATTTCATCACCAATGACAGGACAATAATCTTTTGCAAGCAACCAATCACAAGGCACAATGTATCCCAGGCAAGCTTACTTCATATTAACCTTCTAAAAATATAATTTTCCCCCCTCCCTTCTCTGTCATACATTAAAATGAATACACATGATCTAGGTCATACATCAGATATATGAACAAAATGAAACAATGACATGTATTAATGACACACTAAATTCTAATCAGATCTGCACCTTTGTGTGCATCCCCAATTAAAAATTAATTACCAGCCAAAACCATTTTTTGCTCCCCTCACTCGCTTCTTAAGCAAAAGGAAAGGTGACACATTCTGCAAAAATATTTCTGTCAAAAAAATAAATTAAATCAATTATTCAGACATGATGCCAGAAACAAAAAGAAATTTATTCAAAGCATGACTTATGTTGAGGCAGGAGCCATTATAAATGGTATAAAGAATGAAGTGTGCCATTAGGGCATTCTTACAATGATTAGTAATCAAGTTGCAAGTCAGATGTGGCAAAGCTCTCTCAACAGTATTTTCAACCATCACATTATGCCTTGTAATCATGAAGTCAGTCCACCGATGTGATAATGGTGAAAGGGTTGATGTTTGAAATGACAAATGTGTTTGCAAAAAAAAAAAAATAATAATTTATATTTCTTTTTTTCTTTAAATTTAAGAAAGCAAAAATTACACAAATTTGTGGAAAAGCTCACTGGAAACAATCTGATTTATCTACAAAGAGATACAATTGAATCAATCTAACATCTCACTATAACAGTTGTATCTGTAAAGACCTTATGAATACCTATAAGGGCAGGAAAATGGAATCTTAATCAAAACTTTTGGGGAACATAACTTTCAGATTTCCTTTTAAGTTTGAAACCACTGCAGTAGTCATCATTGTTTATGGACAACTTCACAGCATTGGTTTGGGGTCACGTGAAGTCTATGGACTCCAAAATATTAAAAGTTAATTTCTGATAAAAAAAGCCATTGAAGGTACCAAGATCCCTAAGATAAATATTCCCCCCCCCACGGGATTGTAGACCCCAAGTTTAGAACCCTTGCAGTAAAGTAATCTTCCCTATGTGCAGACACAACTACATAACCTATCCAATTTTTTCTCCAAATTTTTCAATAAAGTAACACTTTCTCCTGTAATCTGATTGGTTGAGAAGACATTTTTTTAAGCCTTTCTCTGTTCATGAGGACTAGATATTAATAATACATTTAGTAGTTATTTATTATGGCACCAAGTTCAATTCACATAATAAAACCCAACTGAGCTAGTCCTGCTACCGAAATCCTAGAATTCTATACATGTTGCTCAATTTTTTATTATTTTTTAATGTTTTCAATCTTTAAAAAAAATGTCTATAATGTGCGCCAACTTCATGAACACATTGAATTTAATATTCCAATTGACAACAGGACAAACATCCAAGATGTACTGTATCGGCAGAAATTAAATCAGGTCTGTTAACTCTGGGCCTTTGAACATCTGACAACCAAAACCTTGGAACCATGGATTACGGCTTTATATATGCGCTGAATGCTTCCAGACCTTTAGAGAATTTAATCTGATATCTCCATCTGTTCTCACACGATGTCACGTCCAAAGTTTTTTTAAAACACAAAATAAACTAGGGTATTTTTATCCATGAGTTGCATCATCTTCCACAAAGTCTTCAGCTTCCTCTCTGGTAACGCACTCCACGTGACTGACCTAGATGGGATTAAATGTAGAAATAAATAAATAAATCTGTTTCAAAGGTCACAAAAATTTGTTAACATAATCTGGTTTTAAGTTTCTGTTACAAAAAAATGTCACATAATCAAACTGTGTTAAGACAACAAAATAAAATATATTTTTTTTTTTTTTTTTACCTTATTTCTGAATTTTACACCATAAAATTTGTCAGCATGTTCTAGCAATTCAGGCCTGAAGGTTGTAGTGATAAACTGAGCCTCCTGGGCAAGCTCATGAATCATATCTGATGGTCAATTAAAAAGAAGTTTTGCAAATTCTCAATAGGTCAGGTAGGGATTATATTGTCAGTGTATTTATATTAAAATGTTAAATGTTGTGGTGATAAATTAAGGCTGATATGAAACTGCATCCTTAGGTGTCTCTGTATTTGTGGCCTTCACGGTGACGGTGAAACAGACTAGTCACCATTGTTATATCAGAAACTGTTTGTTGAAGAGCGTGTGACCAACTATACGGGTGGGGCGGGCAAATAGATTTGGAGGTGTTACTTCAATGACATGACATCTGTATCCCTAGGAGAGGGAGTGTAAAATTTGACCTGGGATGGGATTGTACTCAATACCTCCCAAAGGTCATTTGAGACAAAGGTCAGCCTTATTTTTATTACAATTATTTCACAATTTAATCACAACATTATTTAGGTCCCAGTTGTTATCCGCACAGCATCTCTATTTCTAAAAATACAAACAGCTGAACAAAAATACCAGAAAAATAATTTAAAGCTCAATTGTGAAGGTCTTATTTTCCTACCAGCGACTGCTTTCCTGTGAGAAGAGTCAAGGGCTTGGTCAATCTCATCAAAGAGGTAGAAAGGGGCGGGATCACATTTTTGGATGGCAAAGATTAGTGTGAGAGCTACAAGAGATTTCTGTCCACCAGAGAGCTGCTGCATGTCCCTCATCTCTGCTTGAATTCCAGTGAATGACACCTGGCAAACAGTTACGGAATGTGTTCAGTTGAAATGCAAAGTGTTATGATTAATGTTTTTTTCTTTAATGCACTTTCAATCTGATGTAAACAAAAAAAAAAAGTACAGGAAAACAATTGAAAAATTAATGGTACACAATACACCTGAATTAATTTAGCTGTTTACCCTCAAACTCTTAAAATCGTACAATATCATCACCAAATCGTTCAATACATTACCTTAATAGTAAAAAAATAAACACACAGTATACATAACGTATAGACCTCAAAATCGTACATTGTACGTTAAAATCGTAAGAGTAAACAGGTCTGAAAATATTAAATAAGCATTTTGAAAGAGAATAAATGTTTTGTAGGAGAAATACATGTCAATTAAAATATGCTCTTCTCAAGCTCTGGATGGGTATACATTTTTCGCTCACCTTTATACCAACTCCGGTAAACTGTTCAACCAGTGGTATTTCTGTACCTGCCCCCTAATGGGGAATAAAAAGAGAACCTTGTATAACAACATATGTCTTTAAAGCATAGCAATCAGTTTTACAAAAGCCCTTTGGATTAACTTAATACTCAACTATATTCCGCGATAATCTCTACTCATTGAATAATCAACATTAAAACTGTTGATATCATATTTTTTTGTCCTCGTTTTATAGCCATTTTCATTGTTTCTATAGAATAGTAGTTACTATCCTAGTGTCTCATTTGTATTTACTTAGTTTACATGTTTTAATAATTGTAAAGCGCTTAGAGCTTTATGATAAGCGCTATATAAAAATGCCTAAATAAATAAATATTTTATCAGCTGAAATGTACTTATTGTTTTATAAATATTTCTATTGGGAAAGAACCCATGCAACTCAAGACAGAGCCAGTGGCTGCATCATTTAGCTGTATAATAAAATTACACTTACATCTCCTTCAACTTCTCCTTTCTTCATAACAAGCTGGCCTTGACCTTGTGGTACAAGCTTCTTGAAGATTTCAGAAAAGTATCGAGACACCTAGATGAAGAAAGGAGGAAAATAAAATAAATTGATATCAATAAAATTTAAAAGCATGGAGGTTGCCTCTGAAAAATCAAATTTGTTAAACCCCAAATATTAAAACCCAAAGTATGGTTTTATTTGGTTCATGAAAGCATTTGAAAGAATACCATCTTGATTACTTTAATTTCAATCAAACCATTTTGATTCAGTGTAAATCCTTGAAAATGAAAGTATTTCTACTTGGAAATGTCAAAATAACCACAAACAGGTCTGTGATTTTAATTTTGTGTAAACATGAACAAAATACTGGCTCTACATGTTGAACCAAATTTAAATTTTTTGGCAAAATTGTATTTGACTAGTCTGGCACTTGATTATAAACAATAAATAAAAGAATGATGTTGCCTATCATGAAAAAAGAGACCAATATACTGCAATGATTGAACACATCAATGTTGAATGTTTCTTTAAAAATTTTTTTTTTATTGTTTCTTAATTTTAAAAATACAGATATTTGTCTCTCCCAAAAAAAAAAAAAGCAATAGCAAATGTTACAAACCTGTTTAAATGTGAGCTGAATGGCTTCATACTTCCTATGATCTAGTGCAGTCATTTTGTTGAATGTTTCTTTAAAAATTTTTTTTTTATTGTTTCTTAATTTTAAAAATACAGATATTTGTCTCTCCCAAAAAAAAAAAAAAGCAATAGCAAATGTTACAAACCTGTTTAAATGTGAGCTGAATGGCTTCATACTTCCTATGATCTAGTGCAGTCATTAGTTCTATGATTGACTGTTTTTTTAAAAAAAAAGAAAATGAAAATATGATTAACAATCCAAACTCTTTAAGTTACTTAAATTTTAAAAATTATAAATTATCCACTTTTATAATATTGTCTTCAACAAGTTCTTGTTTTACTGAGAACAAATTCCTTTAAATCTCAGGCAAAGAACAATTTTTATCTTGAAAATTTTATTTGTCTGACATCTGTCTTGATATAAGGTGTTTGTTTGTAAGCAAACATTCCCCATACTGTCCAAGATTTGCTACCTACATTAGGAACCATGATTAGTTTCTTTTTTAGGGCATAGTTGTAACTGGTAATAAAAAAACAATTAATTTAAAAAAAACAATACTAATTTTAACAACCTGCTGGGCACTATCTAATTCTTCCTTTCTTTTCATCAGCTTTTCCTTCTGATCAGAGAAGTTTACAAACTGATCCAAAGCTTTCTTGTTGACATGGCTGTAGCGTTTCAGTTGCTGGTTACAACTCTCAAGCTTTTTGAATAGCTGGAAAAGGCACAGATTTCTATCAGATTTACTTTCAATAATTTTTGTTCTCTCAAAAAGTAAATAAATAATTAAACTGAAACTAACAATCTATTTTAAATACTAGGACATATATAAAATACACACCTGTTTTAAATTCATGCCTTGATATTTTTCAAATGCATCTGATGGCAAGGATCCCAATTCTCGAATTTTCTTCATGCAGTCTTCTTTCTTTAAAAAAAAAAAAGAAAAAATAATTGGGAAGTGAAACATTTATCTCAAGTAATAATAATTTAAAATTTAAATGAAGCGAACAACATAATAGACATAGATCTATATATAATCAATATTGAATTTTCAAAAATGTCTTAACACCATGTATATATTCCTGTAACCAGATGGTTTTGGACTAACAACCTGCTTCAATGTCATGGAAAAGAAAGAAATTATAGCTCAACAAACCTTTTTTATAAGCAAGCTCTGCTTCTGTGATATTTTATCCAACTCTTTGGCATCTTCTCCAATTTTGTCTTGTATATCTCTTTCTTTGCCCTATTCAATAAGATTGTATATAATAATTACTTAAATGATTCATATGAGCTTAAAAAATATATACATTTTTTAAAAAAAACAACTTCGATAATTTAACAGACTGCACAGGTTCTTTTAATAACAATAAGCAACTAATTCTTTATATTATTTTTTATTCATTTAAATGAAAGAATAAAAAAAGCAACACTGCATTCAAAATTAAGGAAAAAAGAATTTAAAAATCTCTACCCTCCACAGCTCTAATTGTGTCTGTAATTGTTTTTGTTCTTTATTTAGTTTCTCTACATTGCTTTCAGTTTCTGGAGAAAAAAAATAACAAAAAACATAAGGGATAATTTTTTTTTAAAAGTCCATTTCTACATTTATAATTTACTGTGATCTATGTACTATGTTAGTAAATCAATTATAGAACATAGATTACAGTATAGTAAAGCAATTTATGTTAAAATAATATTCAGTTACCTAAAACATATATTCAGTTATCTAATAACATAAAGTACTTCCAAAAATGTATTTCAAATGTCAAGAAAACAAATTAGGCTTATAAATCCCTTTAGATAAATAAAAAGGGAGATTCGGACCAATAATATTTTCATTTTATTCCTTACAAGAATGTGTATGCAGCTGTGATACAAATGTTAAGTTTTCTTTTGGGGAATTTGTTGAAAAAGACATTTAAAGAAGTTGTGATGTTTTTAAATGCATTTTAGGTAAGATTATGCAAATAGAAATGAGCACATAGATGATGTCACTCACCAGTAATAAGTTTCTCAAGCTGTTCCATACGCTTTTCCACAACAATCTTCTCTGCCCTGAAGCCACTCAGCCTTTTATCCTGCTCCTCCATGCTGACCTCCCTTAGGTCCTGCTGCAGCCTCTCTCGTTTCTTGGTCAGGTTGTTATTGAGAATATTTTCAAGCTTATTTTTTTCTGTCTCCAGCTGCACAGAAAAATAAAAATGGTTTCATGACTTGAAGTTGCATTTTTAAAACCATTTCACGCCATCACATAAAATTTGATGTTTTAAGATGTTAAAAGGGTTCAAGTAGGGATGTGCACAGCAAATGACATTTTATGCTACCTGACATGAACAAACTGAGCTTAAGAAGTGTGGCTGGTTATTTTCTTCATGACTGCCAACAGCATAGATTTGTGATTCTGAACTTTCTGAAAAAACGTTTTCATTGAGTCCCCTAAAGTCAATGTGAATGAAATGTTCTGCTGCATATTTGAATTTGTTTAAAACTGTTGGGAAAACAGCATTCTAGTAACTATTATTTATTTTAATTTTATCATATGTTCAGATAGTCAGAACACTGTTGAGACATAAAATCTAAAAACGTTTGTTGATTATATGTGTACGTTAATTTGCACTGAGATGCTAAGCTTTTCATATTAAGAATTGTTACATTTTGAAATTAACACAACAAATTTTTTTTTTGTTTAGATCAGTGGATTCAAAAAATAAGAAAAATCTTCTGCTCACTGCATGGACATAAATTGAATTTTTTTTGCCTCCACCAAAACACTGTTAAAGCATGAACAGATGAGTGACTAAAAAAAAAAACGAAAAACAAATTATTACTTTGATCCGCTCTTGCCAAGCTTGCATATTCTCCTGAGTCAGCCTTTTGATTTGATCATTGAGAAAGTCCACCTGTCTTTGGTCCTCCACACTGAGCTGTGACTGCAGTTCTGTTCCCAACTCTTCCTTTAAAGCCTCTGCCTGGCCCTTCATAGCCTGCAGGCTGCTCTCGAGGCTTGCTACACTCTTGAACTATAACACATAGAACATTATACAAATCTTAAACAGAACCGTTTACTCTCAAACTCTTAAAATCGTACATTATCATCACAAAATCATTCAATACACTATCTTAATAGAAAAAAATAAACTTACAGTATATATAATGTATACAACTAAAAATTGTACATTGTACGCCAAAATCGTAAGAGTAAACAGGTCTGCTAATATCTTAGAATTTCCCAAGCATGCTTTATCTTTCGAATTTAAATAAATGCAACTTTTTTTTCTTCTAAAAGAATCACATCAAATAGGCAAATGATTTCAAATAATCAAAACAATTCCTATTTCATCTTAGTGAAAAAAAACATTTTTAAATTCATTTATATTTCATAACTGTTTTAGTTAAACAAACTTCTATATCTATTTTCTATCTTTACCCTGGATGGCTGTGTGTTCTGTAAGCTTGCTAATTCCTCCTTTTTTAATCGCAGATCTCCTTGGACCTTTTCATATGCATCTCTGAAATTATAAAAGAGAAATAAATACTATTGGCTAAAATAATTAAGTCAGAGTTTTTCTGTTTTGTTTTCTTCTTTAATAAAGTATAAATCATCTAAAATAAAAGCTACTGAAATGAAATCAAGTATAAACAATATCAAACAAAAGCTTACTTGTTTTTGCTGTTTTTGGTCTCAAGTTTTTGCATCTCTGACAACAGGTTGGTGATGTATTGCTCCACTTTCTCCAGCTCCACTCTGTGACTTTGGTACTCCATTTCTTGGGTTTGTTTTGCTTCAGTCAACTCAACTTTGCTCTTTTGGAGGTCAAGCCTGCTTCGTCTGGTATCATTGTAGCCCCCTGTTAGAGTACCCCTTCGACTAACAATGTCACCTGGAATTAAAGATTAGGAACAGAGAGATAAAGAGTAGTTAAAATTGCAAGGGTTGCTGATACGAACACTACAATGTTAAGGCTTTCACATCTTCAAAATGAGTTGTAAACCTCACTCTAATTTTTTAAATGTACGAATATAGATATAAACTGGCATTTAGCTAATAATTAGAGAGGCACAAACCTTCAAGAGTGATGTAATCTAGATTCTGGGTGCGTGCATTTTGTGTTCCCACTTCCATATTTCTGGATATCATTGTTTTGCCGAATACATGTTTCATGGCAGGGTCAAAAATTGGATCATAATTTAAATTTTTGATCATTGGTACTGCATCCTGTAAAGATAAAGAATTTTTTTGTTTTTTTTACAAATTTTGGTACAATTAATCTAAATTATATTTTTTGTAAAGCAATAATTTCTTTGAAATTGTTGTACTGCAATTGTAATATTAATTCTTCATGCAATAGGAAACCATTAAAAAATTTTTTTTACCTTCTCTGAAAAAAAAAGTTATTTAAAAAAATTTGACAACAGCTTACTGGATTATTTGGATAATAAGTATCTCTGTTTTCAAGTCTGTTCAATGGCATGAAAGTCACTTCTCCAGCCAGATGAAGTCTGTTCATCTCTTTTAACAATATTGTTCCGGTACGATCAGTATCTACTATATGATGAAACAAACTGGAGAAGACAACAAAATTGTGACAATATTTATTGAACTATGGGGAAAGCAGAAATTTGTTACAAAACATTATATGTAAGGAATAAACTTCATAGTCATGCATATCCTCAACTAGTAAAAAGAAGGGGCTCATGTTCACTCACCGAGATCCAGCAGTGACTTCCACACATGTGTAGTAAACTTTTTCACATTCAAAGGCTTCTATAAGGAGGCCGTGAAAACCATCTATAACTTCTGGGTACTTGTTTTGTTCCCTAAATGACTGAAGCACTTTTTGTATACTGTCAATACCGTTCAACAGGCCCTGCAGGATAATAATGACTTACTAAATAGTAGTCGTAATATAAATGTGCTGCTGGCGATCTTAATAAAACAAAATATAAGGCAATTGTTAAGAAAAAAAAATTCAGTGATAAATTTATGTGTTTCTTTACAGAGAAATAAGCTAAGGTTATGTAAAATAATATATTAAAAAGAAAGGTAAAGTGAATAACCCCCCAAAAAAACTGGCAGAGAAAAGACTAAAAGACGTTGAAAATCTCAGCAACTAACAAGGAAGGAGAGGTACAGACATAAAAGTAAGGATTGGTATAGAAAGAGCAGCTTCTACCAACTGAACAATGTTTTTTTTCTGAGCTCTAGAGAAAGATCTAACACTGGAAACAAATGTCTGGGTATTTGACACCACTAGATTGACTTGAAGACTTGAGGAATCACTACAATGAATATTTTTTAAAAGTCACTCAACTCATTTTTCAACCCAACCCAATTCTTAGGATTTGATAGTACAATATCATAAGAATTGGGGAATTCAAGCAGCACAAAAAAACAAAAAAAAAGGCTTGGTGAGGAAATAAATATCCTTAGACAATGGAGATGTATCAGTCACACACATCGAAGACCAGCACCGACCTTCACTAGGAGTCCCCGGGACAAAAGTAAGAGAAGCCAGCCAAGCTAGTGATGCAGCACAGAAGCAGAAGATGGATGAAAAGAAGGGCAACTCCAATGTCTATGGGGCAACAATAGACCAATATGGAATGAATGCGACATCAATTAAATTGGTACCTTTCCAGTGAGTGACCGCAGACCCTGTATTCTCTTGTTAAGTTCTTCAGTTGTTGTTTGGACCTGTTGCTGAAGGGTGTTTTCTTGGCGCCATAGAGTGCTACAATTTAAAACAATGACATTGGTAACAATACATGTAAAGAGTCAGTGCTCTTCATACATCGTGTACCACTACCTTATGAAGACCACTAGCCTGACATAACCATTAGCTTCTTATGGGCAAAGTTATAGGGAGACATAATTAATTATTTCTTTAAACACTAAAGCATGCACATGATAAACATCTTATTTTTTATTTTATGTAAGATGTAACATGTTTTCTTACAATTATGTGATAAATACATAAAAAAATTATAATTGGATATTAACTCACTTTCTAATGTTTTGCTGTGCGTCTTTGTCAGCTTTCATTTCAGCAAATTTACGGTTATTATCTTCAATGCCTTGCTTCCTGTTCTCTAAATCTTTTTCTAAATCCTGATATATCAAATAATTAAAATATCTTTAATTACAATTTAAAAAAAAAAAAAAAATAAGTGTGGTAATAATGTAGAAAGTGAAAATAAACTTTATTAAAAATGCTCAATTTAAGAAAAGGGAAAATTTAAAAAAAAAAATATGTATCTTAGAGCTTACAGCAATCTCTTTTTGCAAGTTTGTTGTCTGCCCTTGACCTTGCTGTTGTGCATCTCGTAGTCTGTTTATCTTTAGAGTAAAACAGTATGTAATACTTGAGAAAAAAAATCCAAGCCAACATCAGTGTCTCAATTTAAGAATGCAATCCTAAACATTCTATGTTTAAGTTGAACAGAGGTAACTGCATGATGGGCTTGCAAAATTTGCTCTTAATAACAGCTAAACAGTTCAGCTAAACTACAAGTACCTCATTTGAGATAAATACTAACTATTTACAACAAAAAAAAAAAAAAGTTAAAAAAAAACAACTCATTAAACAGGGGCTGTGTCATTTTTTTAGTTTCATTTGTTTAAATAATATTAATAATACCTGCTCTTTTTTGTCTTTGTTTGCCTTTTTTAATTTTAAAACAAAAAAAAAAAAAAGTTAAAAAAAAACAACTCATTAAACAGGGGCTGTGTCATTTTTTTAGTGTCATTTGTTTAAATAATATTAATAATACCTGCTCTTCTTTGTCTTTGATAGCCTTGTTTAAAGATTTTAGTTCCTTTTTAATCCAATTGTCTCTGTCTTCTCGAGACTGAAAGTGGCTTCCTCTGCCTTGCTTGGCATACAGTTCTTTCCTTTTCTGATCTGCCTCAGCTAACCTATATTGAGTTAAATATAAAATTGAAATGTTTTTAATAAAAAAAAAAATAAAAATTGATAAGACAAGGTGTCATGTCAAATTTTGCTAAAGGATTGTGTTTTCTGTGAAAGCTATTTAACTCTTTACACTGGGTTAGGTCAATGTACATGTTAAAAATATAAATTTTATTAACCTTGTGGAGCATATTTCTTCATTATCAAGTTTATTCTGATAATCCTGGCATACCGCGTCATATTGAGCTTGTGTCTTTAAAATTTTTTCATTGACTTTGGCTAGTTCTGCTTCAGCTTTAGCCTGGGAGGAAAGAGAGCATTTTAAATTCGAATTTAAAAAAACCACAAAAAAACAACGAAGTACATTGCTTGTTGGCTCAATATTCAGTTAGAATTTACTTTTGTGGATCCTTCTATACAAAAAACATCTATTGCAAGAAGAACTTAAAAAATCATCAAGGTACCAAATTATTGTAAAAATACCTTTGTTGTCTGATTTCCTTTTTGGTCATCTACAATATCAGAAATGCTTAGCTCCAGATTCGAGCTTTTCTTGGTTAACTCATGGTACTCTGCGGATAAACTGTCTTTCTCTTCCAGAGCTGCCTGCATACGAGCTTTCAGCTCTTTCAAGTCTTTATTAATGGTCTGATGACGCAACAAAACAAATAAAAAAACATTAAAAAACTATAACATTATTTGTCATTAAGACAAAATATTCCAACTGGTGAACAGGATGTGTTAAAATGCTGAATTAAAAAATCAACATGGGATACATTTGCTTACCTTGACTTTATCGTTAGCTGCGGTCAGCTCATCTCTCAGAGCAGTTGAGTTGGCTCCACTGTTGTCTCTCTTATTCTGGAGCTGTGTGGAGAAATCTTAACATTAAATAATTGTGCACATTTCTTTAACACATTTCTATCACTATGAAAAAACAACGAAATTCTTAATAGTGGCTAGTGAATTCTTACTGATCTGACTGACAGCACATTAATTTTATTGCGAAGCAATGTACTGGAAGAGTTCAACACTGGTTCCAACTAGGACCGAAATAGAGTCCACTTTCCTTTTGATAATAATGTCTTAAGATTATATTTATAGTGCTAGATTAGTTTTCAATGATTTATAAATAATTGTTTAAATACAAAATTTTTCACCAAGTGATGCCAATTATAACAAAAATGTAGTAAGGAATTTGTACATTGAACCTATTTTCAAAAAATATACCAAAACTAAAGACCAACAAAATTATTTTTTTAATTATTTAAAAAAAAGTACCTCATCAAGTTTTTTTCTGGTATCTTTCAACTCGTGATCATGGATTGTGTATTCTAAAGATCTGAAAATCAATGAAAATACTCTTAACCAGATCCAGAAATTGTTCATGACAATAATTAGTCTAGAATGTTAACAACAAACGATGACTTTCATACACCAGTTAGTCAAACAAATAATATATTCACCACTGTCATATTTTAGGCAAAAAATAAATTTTACAAAGTAGATTCTATTTCTTTTGAAAAAAATATAATAAATAACATGTAAATACAAATGTAAAATCAGCACTTCAACATTAACTTAGAACTGTCCACACAAAAAAAAAAAAATCCTTTCAAGTAAAAAAGAGTTCCATAAATTCTTACCTTCGCATTTTATCCCACTTCTGGTATTCTTTAAGTTCTTCTTTTTCTCCTTCTAGGGTGTTCAGGCGCTCTTCAATGTACTTGAGGAGATCATTTATTTTCTCGCGTTTGCCATCTGTCGTAAACAAAATTTGTTAAGATTAAGATAAAATGAATAAATTTATATGTAATTACTTCTTCTGAAATTTGTACCCAACAAAAAAAAATCAAATTGTTCAAGTAACACAATTTTGGATTTAATTTAAAAAAAAACAAAAGTACATTTTTTATGTAGAGAAGATTACAGGTAATTATTTGAGCATTGTTAGAAAATACAAACCTGTCTCAGTTAAAATTCCATTACTTTCTTCTTTGCGCTCGTCATAAACTTTAGTACCAGCTACCTCTCTCAACAGCTTAAGTCTTTGAGAATCCGGAGCGGTGGCCATCTGGTTAATCTATTTGTGAATTAATGAAAAAAAAAGTTATTTAAGCATTTGTGGACACAAAAAAATTTACAAACTGAAAAAAATTAGGATAATTAATTAAAAACATAAAAAAGGTCAAAGGAAAAATAATCAAGATGTAAAACATACCTTTCCCTGTTTGACAATATAATAAGGGTTACTGCGTGAAAACCCTGCACTTTCAAGTAGATTCATCACATCAGATTTACTAACAAAAAAAGAAAAAAAAAAGGGCATATGTATATATATAAAAAAAACAACATAATAATAATAATAATAAGACGTCTTATATAGCGCGGTACCCCAGCCTAGGGCTGGGCTCACCGCGCTGTACATAAAAATTTTATCAAAAGAGACATAATCATGACATTAAAATAAAATAACTCAACGGTTCTCAACCTGTGGGTCGCAAACCCTTTTGGGGGTTGAACGACACTTTCCCCGGGGTCGCCTAAGACCACAGGAATATAAATATACAGGTACTCTACAGTTTTGAATTAGCATCGAAAATAATTTTGTGGTTAGGGAACTGTAAGTAGGATAGCTGCATTAAGAAGGTTGAGAACCACTGACATAACTGATCATAAATGTTTACGCCTTCAGCCAAAAATGATAATTTCAAATATAACATTAAATTTAATGAAAAAGTTTTATTTTTTAGAAAAATAATTAAATTATTTTGTTTACAAGTTATCAACATGTTAAAATTTCTTGATTTTTTAGAGAATTACCAATTTGAGAAAGTAACTGGTAGCTTTAACATTAAATCAATTTAATATTAGCCAATTATCTTTCCAGACACACTCAAAATATGGTTATGAAACTTTAATGATCCATAAAGCCAAAGTTAAAATTTACTTTTCTTTATACAACTCTTTCATTTGAACATTCTTAATTGGGGTTTGTCCATTTTTCTTCACATTTTATTTATTTTTGTTCTGTAAATTAGTAAAAATGTAACGTTAAATGCTACATGCAAATTAGAATAAGAAGAATAGTCCGGTCTAAAATAATTTTCTTAAACCTTGAACCTCTCAAGTGAAAACTTAAAATTTTCAACTTATGGTTTAAATAAATGAGTCCTAAAAAATTTGATAATGATTTTGAGAGAATCAAGAGCATTTTTAACTCAGTTCACTGATGAAAACAAAATAATAGTAATTGATTGTGGCATCTAAGTCATTTTTTAGAGAAGAAAACTTACGTGACCATTTTTTTGTCAAGGAAGTACTGATCTTTTTTTGAGCCGATGACTCTCCTTAATACAACTTCATCTTTCTCAATCTGAAGTAAATAAAATGTAAAATATAAATAACTTTTATGTAATAGAAGTTGCAGTATTTTTTTTACTCATTCAGATGTATCAATCAAAGCTATAAAGGTTTAATCTCAAAGATAAACAGGGTTCACATTCTTTGTTAGTTTATAAAAATTAGTGTAATATTGGAGGTCAATCTTTATTTTAATGTGTAACTGCAACATAGAATTTTTATATTTATTAATGACTTTACGTTATTTTTTATTTTAATCTTATAATTGCTAATGGATAATGAATAATGAATCCCTTTTATTTATTTAATGTATCCAGTTTTTTTTAATATCTTCCCGAACAAACCATTATACCTTAAAAACATGTTAAAATCCATTACAAATAAATAGGAAAATAGGAGAACATTTTTAAATGAACAGCATATTTATTGAATGCTCTGAATATGCCAAACTTACTGGGATTCTGTTGTCAGAATTATCAAAAATAATTTCAACAAAAGCACTTATGACTCGTGGTCCAGTGCCTTCATGCAATAGAGCCTGCCTCTGATCTGGACGCATGTGGCTGAATTCATCAGACAAAACAAACTGGATAGCTGGAAAAAAATAAAACTTGTCTTAGAAAAATATATTAATTTCCAGGTATTTTAGCCATTTATATATTCCACAATTAATTTCATAATAATTTTACCAAGAGATGCACTTATGAACCACTTACCATAGAAGAAATTACTTTTGCCTGAACCATTTCTACCAACTGAAATTAAAATTAAAAAATGAAATTCCTCATGATTATACAATTGATTGCAGAAAAAGATTAAATAACAACAAATAATTTCCTATTACCTTATTTCAAAAGGGACAAGAAATTTCATATAAAATATAGGTTTAATGTAGGCTATTAAAAAAAATATATATGCATACCTTATATTATTCTGAACTGCTTATTCACTAAGAAGTTTGCTTATCTAAAAGCTGATTTTTATAAATCAAACTTTCATATAGGCTACAATGGAAAATATTTTTTTAAATTTAAGATTTACCTATGACATTGTGCTTTGGACTGAAAGGTTCTACCACAGTTTGATCTCTGTAACTTCGGAAGCCTTGAATAATTACCTTTTTAAAAGAGAATTAAACATCAGTACTGGAATAAAACAAAGCTATGCACTAGGCCTATTGTTAACTTCCAAATGACTCTACCTTAACTCAATTATCAATACTTGTAAATAAAAATAGAATCTCTTGGACTAGGCTAACCCATTTTTAAATATTTGTACAATTTTAATAATTTAAATATAAATTCCCAGCTGAATGACCTTAATGAATATTTAATCTACATTGCCAAAATATTGCATGATAGGCAATTTTATTTTTAAAATGTCTAGCACCTTGCCTTGATTTTTGGCTTCTTATGTCAACCATTATTTGTTCGATGAAGGCTTGGGGATTACCTATTAATTGCTCACCAATATTGGGTGTGTGTGGAAAAAGTTTGACAATTGCTGACAATGGTGGAAGGGGGGGCAGCAGAAATTGAGTGAAACAATACTATTTTTCTTCGAAACAGTTATCCATACATTTAAATTATTACCATAATTTTTTTAATAAAATTTTAATGCTTATAAAAATTCATATAATTTCAAATGGACAGATTAGAAACCATGATGCATAGAAATTACCACCTCCTCTTTTAGAAGAGGAGAAAATAAATAATGCGCCCACATTGGCGACATTGCCAAAAGAGAGAGAGAGATGATGGCAATAATTGAACTAAGAGGAAATGCTGATATTTTAAGCACTAAGACTAGACAAGGATAATGTTAGTAAGTTTCATAAAAATACTAACAAGGAAATGTTAAAATCAGTTGGTATGCCTATGCGCTATTGCAAAAAATGAACATTTTGCTTATCAACATGAAAAAAGCTGAAAAATAAACTAGCAATTAATTTATTAATATTATTTAGACCTTACAGTTCTTTAATAAATCAGCAATATAAAATTGACTCTATTCATAGATTCTAGTTACTACAAATTTAAAATTTGTTTTTGGAGGTTTCAAAAATGTAATAAATAAATTTTTGTTCCCAGAAGAGTTTTATGTCATAATAATTAAAAATATGCATGATAATTTATATTTTCTTTGGTCACGGGACAACCAATTGACATAATTAATAAGGGGGTCTTAACAGTGTGAAAGTTGTTAATGAGTTAAATTGGAAAGGGAAAAGGGGGGGGGGGTGTAAAACAATTACTTAAAATTTGTTGACTTAATTCATGGATGGATGGGCCCTTGGGCTTAGTTGGATAAATATGGGCTATTTCTTTAATTTTAATGTTAGAATATTCAATGAACTGAATTCAATTTGATGAGGCCTAGGCTGAAATTACAAAGGTCCTATCTATACTATTGAAGACTATTGTGAGTTTCCCGTTCATTAATTAATTCATGATCTGAATTCGTGGCTAATATTGACAATAATTTTCTCAACTATAAATTATAAATATTACATGGCCAACAAGTCAACTGTCACACAATTCTTATGGCTCATCTTTCATGATTCATAGGTAGTCAACACAAGTGTCATAGGTATAATTTTTTCATTGTTATGATTATATTTGTTTCAAAATCAACATTTCATTTCGTTGCCATAGTAAAAATAATAATTAATAATCAATAATAATGATGCAGGTGACATATCACATTCATTACATTTTTTTTTCACATGTAGTGTAGGCTAATAATACTAATCAGTGACAGTGCTAATCATCATGTAGAATATCATAATCATGTTAAAATTAGCTTAAGTTATTATCACAATATTCATTAAATAAGCTGACAAAAATCATGATTTAACAAAATATGCGCAAATTGATATAGGGTCTATACTGTTCTAAACGGTATTATGCCCAATTTGGTGAAAATATCTTAATAATAATAATCTTATGACCGCAAGGTCTTATCGATAATAGGATATATATTTTACACCTTTCTAAACAATAAAAATACAACCATAAATTCAACTTATGCATTATCAAAGCATACTCTACCTGTTTGATGTACATTCTAGGTGTATTCGACTATTAACTCATTAATATTGAATGATGATAAAATATAGTAAATTAACAACGTTAATGTAAACAAACAGTTTTACATATTAAGGGAAAGCCATCACAAATGGCGGCAAATAATACCATAATATTCAGCTCCGCAATACAAAAGTTTCTGGCCCCAAAATCACCTTTTTTATTGATGGCATGTGAAATATAATATAAAGTAATAATTAAAATTTATTTTTTAAATATAAAATGTAAAGAAAATTTTATTTTTATATTTTTCAATTCCAATATATTTGTAAGAGTTGTAAGCGACTAAAATTCCTTGAGTGATCTCTGAAACTGGCGAACAGTAGCCTCCCTTTGAATTTAGTCATTCACTGGAAATGTATAAAATAATCAATTGTTCCAAGCCTGTTTTACATTTCCACACACACACACACACACAAAGCAAGCGGTCGCCAGTGGCCACCGCTTGCTTTTGTCGCCAGCCGACGGCCCTGGAGTCGCCTGTAACAATTTGAATGAATAAATTCATCTTTTCATTATAATACCATACTGCCTGGGTCTGGGCTCAGGGATGCGAACTAAAAAAAAAAAAGTATAACTATTATATTAAAAAATCAAAATTACACATTTTAAAAATTAATTTAAGACGCTATTTTTATCTTCAAATATTCGTACGACTGTTATTTTACGATATACAATATAGCAATAGCCAATAGCCTTCATAAATCTGTTTTGAATGTCTCCTTTTTATGATCGTACACTTTTCAAGCAAGAAAGAAGAAAGCAAAATTTCACAAATTTCTGGTGAGGTATCCCGTTTTGTTTTGCTTCAATTTTATTTATTTTATATTTATTAAAGACATCTCAAAATTCTTACGGGCTGTTACGGTCAAGTCATTTTAATTAGGTCAGATTTTTACGTACTTTCCATACATTAACTGTCGGCTGGCAACCCTCTTAACTTTAAAAAGCTGCCGACTGGGGGTCAGTGTACCAAACCCCATTTCCCGTACAGCGGCAAAGCCCCCTGCTCTGTTCATTAAGCTCAGTGCTTCTCGGCTGTTGTGCCACGACTGGGGGGGACCCCTGACAATACGCCAGGGGTGCCTGGAGACTTCTGAAATATGTTGCTTTTTATAAAATTAAGTTTTTCCTTTCTTATTTGTACCATCTTTCATATTAAAATTTTAACAAGTCCATTTCATTAAAAAAAATTACACGGAATATGCTGTTTAATATATATATATATANAACTGTTCATTGTACATTAAGCACATTTAAAAGAAAACATGTCATCATTGTTTTTTTTAAATTTTAATAAAAGGTGGCCAAAAATAATTAATTAAGCTAATTGTCTGAATGGAGTTATTGTGAAGTGATTATGCCTTGATTATGAAAATAAACATGCGAGAATAATATTTTTTAAATCGAATAATTAGAAATGTTGCTAAGTCAATTAGTTCTCAACACCCACGTGAGCCATGTCCCAATCTCTAGGCATTTTCCCCATTGTCACTCAACTTGGTGAATGTTATCAAGGAGGCGCGGGACCAGTGGCGCAGCAAGGATTAGTGCCACCAAGGGCGGGACGAGAATTTAGCCGTCCCCGTTGCACGAAAAAAAACTCTGCCATTATCCGAATATGTCATCCCTCCATATATAGAAAAAGTAGTGCAGGCGCCGTGCACTAAATCCCAATCCCCCCCCTTTTTTTTTCATACGCAACTAAAAATGTTGAGAACTGCTGGTTTAGCTCACACAACTGAAATGTATGATTTGGATTTTCAAAAGTATGGTTTTTGTTGGCGTTTTTTTGTTTTTTTAAAGAAGGCAAAGAAATTTCCCTTCAGAGATAATTGTTAATAATTTTTATCGACATTTTGCTGACGATGCAAAATATAGGTGAAAAGGCTGAACAATGCTCTACCAGTTGCCGTTTATAAGAGTATAACTATATCTGATCTGAAAACTACTGATGCATGGGGAGTACTATAAAACACTTCTTTCAAGTTCAGTGGCCCTGCAAAATTCGGCGTCTCTCTCTCTCCATCTCTCTCTCTCTCCCCAATCTCTCTCACACAAACTCTCTCACCCCCTCTCTCTCACCCCTCTCTCACCCCCTCTTTCTCACCCCCTCTCTGTCACCCCCTCTCTGTCGTCCCCCTCTCTCTCTCACCCACTCTCTCTCCCTCTCTCTCCCTCTCTCTCCCTCTCTCTCTCCATTTAATATTTGAAATAACTAACACTTATTTTTGACTTAACTACACAATAAAGCGCGTTTTAATTTAATCCAGTAAAAAGTATTCTTCTATACTAAATACATTATTTTATATTTCATTAAAAAAAAATTAAACTTGTTTGGAAGTTATGTGCGTTTAGCTGATTTCACTTATAGCATATTGTCCATCAAAATCCCCCCCCCCCCCTTTTTTTTTTTTTTC